ATAGCTATATTTCCTATAGTATTATATTATCTAAATATAATATAAATAAAATAAAAAGATTAAATAGATCAAACTAGTCTTAATCTGCTACTCTGTCTGGATACTTTCCGTATGGCTCTCACATAAAGTATCTTAAAATAATTCTAATAAGAATTTATTTAATAATATTTACCTTTTCTTAAATAACTAAAACAAAAAAAATTAGAAATTATTAAAAACTATTTAATATAATAGATATACTGGTTAGATAAGATAAGTAAGATAATTAAAAATAATCTTTTATTAATTTTAAGATTAATTTTTAAAAAATCTTTTTTTTAAAAAATCTTTTTTTTAAAAAATCCTAGAATAATATATTATATACAAAAAGAATAAGTAATATAATAATATAAATATTTAGATTAAAAAACTAATAAATCTGTATCAATCCAGAAGCAGGCTACTATAATAATAAATATAGACTGCTGTAGCAGTAGGTGTTATATAACAGTATATTATTTATTCTAATTCTAAAATTATTTCTAATCTTAATATTACTAAGAATAATAAATTTAAGATTATAAAAAAACTATAAATATATATATTTTAAGTTATTATATCTAAAATTTATTATATTATATATAATAAATATAACTATATTAATATTAATAAATATTTTTTAGAATTAAATAATTTAACTATTTATAAAAATTAAAAACTACTTAAAAAGTATATTTTTTATTATTTTATTTATTAATATAATAAAATCTAAACATATAAGTCTTATAATATATTATAATCTATTTTTATTTTTATTTTATTTTATACTATTATTATAGATTTCATTATAAATTTATTTAAAATATTTACTATCAGCTATAATTAGTTTTTTATTATAATTAGTAAATTTCTTAAATATATCAGCTTACTTTCTAAAATTTTTATATAGAAAATAGATTAATAGAAACTTATTATTATTAAATATATATAATTTTATAATTAGAATATATTTTATTTTTTTATTTTCGATTATAATATATAATTTATATTAGTATTTTAAAGGAATTTATTTTCTAAGATAAAATTAAAGTAGTTTTATTTAATTATTATTTATTTTTAAACTAACAGATAGTCTGAATAGATGATTTAAATTATTAAGATAATAATATAGTATAATATTATCTAAGTCTAAGATTTTTAAAAATTTAGATTATAATCTATTTTTTTATTAATTCTATTAATAATAAATATTTCTATTAATATATTTATAAATAAAATCTTTTATAAATTAATATTCAGTGTTTTACTATATTAGTCCTTGTATTTTATAAAGTCTATTTTATAATATATTAAGTATTCTAGTCCTAGCAAAGTTATTTTTAATATTTTATTTAATATTTTATTATTTTTAGTTCTAATAAAACCAAAAATATATCTATATATTAAAGTTATTATTTCTAAATATATAGGTATTTATTTTATCTAAGACTTTTTATATTAATTTAATACTAAAAATATATTAAAGTTTATATTTATATATATAAAAAGATTTTATAATTAAGATATAAGTTTATATAATTTAATATTAGTAATTATATCTATTTTTAGTTATATTATAAATATATTATTTTATTTATTTATAATATTAAGTAGAAATTTGCTTAATAATTTATAGATTAAATTAAAATTTTTAAAATTATTAATTATTATATATACTAATTAGAACTATTATTATTTTAGTTAATTTATTTAGTAATATTAATTATCCAGTTTAAACCCGTGTTTAAAAATATTAATTTTTTCAACTATAAATTATTTAAGTTTTTTTATATTATTAACAAAAGATTTCCCGGTAAAACCGACTATTAAAAAATTAAAGTAATTATTAATATATATATAATATATTATAGCTGAGACTGTATATCTATATTATAATATTAAATTTATTAATTTAAATATAGTTTTAAAAATAATTAGTAGATTAAAACTATTAATATTACTACTAATAAGTTAGTTTAAAAATATAAATATTATTATCTACAGTAAGAATCGCGTCTGCTAATCTTAATATCTTAATATATTTTTATTTTTTAATAAGATTAATTTCTAGTTTATCTTTTTTTTTTTATATATCATATCTATTAATATATTATTTTTTATTTTCTAGATTACTTCTTAGTATTTTCTTTTTATATATTCTAATCTTCCAGTATAGATTCTAGTATTTTCGACGTGGGCGTTTTTTTAAAAGACCGGTATGTATAGCAGTTCGAGTTGGCGATATTAATTCTACCCTGTTTTTCCACCTTAATAAATTTTGATATATAGGAACTTCCGCCTTGGTCTATCTAAGAAACAACTATCTTAATATCATCGATTTTATTATATTTATACTTATCGGCTGCAACTGTCACAATTATATATTAATAAAATATAAACTAATATATTTTTAAATCAAATATAAAACTTTTTTTATAATATAATTTTAAAAAAATATTAATAGTTTAATATCTAATTTTTTATAATTTTAGTAATTTTAATTTTTTTTAGTTTTAATTTTTTAATAGATTAATAAAGCAACAGCTATATAATATCTTTTTTTAATTTTATAATTATTAGCTATTATTTTAGTAGAAAAATAAATAAAACTAAATAATTCTATTATATAAAAATTATTTGTAATATAAGATTATTTATAAAATAGAGGCGACCAACCACCGCAGGTGGGTGGGGCGCCGCAGCGACGAGTATGATTGATATTAAGATTATTGGAGATGGCAAAGGACGGGAGGAATCCACTGTCTCGAAGTTCCGCCGCTAAGGCGGTGTGGAAGGCGGCCATACGAGCGAACGGCAGATATCGACATGACCGAACGAATGAACGGTGACAGTCCTAGCAGCAGAATTTTATGATAGTTGATTTAATTGTTTTTTTTATCTAAGCTTATTAATCAATCATATCGAGTTCGCCACCAAAAACAAAAAGATATAGCAGATAATAAAAAATAATATAATTATACAGTTTCTAGAGACTATATCTTACTGTATCAAATCTAGAATTAAGATATATAGTTGATATATAAAGTATTAAGAATTCTGCCGGTAAAAATAATATATACTAGTTCTAAATAGAAAATGCTAAGAACGCCTCTAAAGAGGGAGGGGGGTGTATCTTTTTAAACATGGCACTGTAAGAAAGATGGACTGTGCCACCCACTCTCTCCTGCCGCCACAGTACAAAAGGAGTTGGGTGTACTGACCTATGCTTCACCTGTTTTTTACGTTGTATAAGGACAACATGAAATCTTATGCATTTCCATATTTTTCTAAACATACTTCCTTCATATATGTGATCCACATATACTAAGAATGAGAATGCACAGAATTTCTCTATATATGTATATACACAGCAGCATAGTGTTCCCCGCCTTTGACGGAGCCATTTGGGACAATAGCTTTTCATAGACCCATTACATTCCTGACATGGCTCATAGTCTGTTCGGCATTGGTCCTGGCTGTATGCTTTCCCTGTTCAGAGACAGCATCTAGATACCCGCCCTTGTCCGCAATTAGTTGTAAGTATCTTTCCCTGATAGGCGCAAGCTTGCTCGAGATCTGATTTGCTAAGGTTTCCTTCAGAGCCCTGAGACTAGAAAATCGGAGCTCCGAGACTAAATCCTCGCATGTTCTTCCGTCAAAATGACTAAGAAGCTCTAAGAGATTCGACACACCGGGCCTGCCAATAGGGTCATACGTTACGCCTGCTTCCGAATCCGTGAGCGCAACCTTGATCTTCTTACGAATTTCCTCAGAGGAGTCGGTGAGAAGAATTCTGGATCGTGGGTCACTATGAGACTTGGACATCTTAAGATTAGGCTCTTTGAGAGACATCACTCGCCTAGCGGGTGCTACAGGACATTCCATAGTCAGTAATCTTTCTCTACCGTGGTAACACTTTCATCGGGGAAACCAAAAGCGCCTTACATATAAGAGCCTCCGGAACTGGAAAAACCTGCCCATATCGATGGTTAAAACTATTCGCAATATTCCGAGAGAATTCGAGATGTTGCCTTTGATCCTCTCCAACTGGAACGTGGGTAGCTCTAATCGGAGTTAGCCAAGATCTGCGGGGTGTTGAATAGCACCAGACCTGTGAACAAGTATGTCCGCTGCTTGGAGAACAGGGTATGAAAAAAGGCCAAGCCGTAACTCGGATCTTGCTGCTTGGCTTTCGAGAGTCGCTTCGTCGGGTAACTGAAGCTTGCTCTTTTCGGTGTTAATTCTGATGCCTCAACGATAGTGCTTTGCTGCAATGCCTGCAACCCATAGTCTCCGTCTTCCGTTATGATTACTCACTTTCCATTGAGTCATTCGAGATAGGTATCCCATAGATGCTATCGTGCATAAGATCCAGAACAGCTCAGCATGTGATTGAACCTGACGGTGGGTTAGTGGACAAGAAAGACATTCAACCGATAAGAGCAGCACAGCGTACGGCGGATTGATAGAAGAGCGTGGAGCGATTTGGATCTAAGCCCACGGCAATCAACGCGGCGAGCATTTGTTTCCTCCAGTCCCTCAATTGGCAGCGTTCTTGGGGCACTGTGAGCGCATGTAAATCCACGATAGAGAATACAAGTCTTGTCCCTTCGGTCGCAGTGTCTTGCAATCGAACCCATTCCTTCAAAGCACCCAAATAATTACCCAGGTGAGGCACACCTGTAGGCTGGATACCAGAAAAAATTGTGCGAGGTGCATCGGAAGCGCGTTTTGTAGTACAGATGCTAAATGATCTGTTAAGGTGACAGCTTTTCAGCTTTTCGTATCTGATGGGGATCCTGATGGGTCGTCCAGTGCAAAGCCGGTGCTCGTTGGCAGCCAATCTGAGATTCTTATTGAGGCAAGAGCTTATATTATACATGTTGTATCAACACCACCTTGTCAAGGCGAGTTGCGTATAGACATGGGTTTACATAGCATGGCCCGGGAGCCGCGGAATATACCCGGCCGTGCATCACGTGATTAGAAGTAACTGGTGTCATGTAAAAAGATTTCATTGTATAGGAGCACCATCCCTTAATAGCCCGTGTATTCCGATCCGTGTATTGCGATCAGTCCTTGAACTATATAGACATAAACCACTAAAGGAAACACGGACACGGGGTTACATGGGATGATCTAAGGCCGGGGATCCATAGCAGTGGGTGTCATGTTGAGATTGTATTCTTATTTGCATTTGCGAAAGCTGTTGAGAACCATGCCGAGACAGAATGGTGTGTGATGGTGTCGACTGCAAATTTCTCCCAAGGTCGCTGAGCAGAAGTATTAGAGATTCCATGGCCCGGTAATACAGATCAAACAAGGCAGCAGCTTGTGTGGAAGTAGCCTTGACGGGTCAGCGCCTGCCGACCTCTGATAAGGGGCTCTTCAGTGTGACCAGGTGGTCTTTGTTCAAAATTTCAACAAGAGAATCGTCCGATTTTGTATCTTGTCTTTGACCGAATTGTGAAAGGAGTCCTTCAAGTGACTTTTCGGTTTCTGGACCCGCTCTGTCCAAGTTCTCGACGACATCTTAGGTACGAACAAATAATCAGCTTTTACTAATGGTGAAATGCAGTAGAAGGCTTAGACATACCGAGACTGTCGTATTCCCACATGTTTGCTTTCATACCCACTCCATGAAATGCATATTTCCTCAAAAAAGCCAGCCACACCTGGACAGTCTGTGAATTCCCATCTTTGACCTGAATCAGCCGACGCAGGGTTATACGCTCAAAGTTCTCTTGGCTCTTCTTGTGAACAAAATTGCTTCGGGGCACAGTCCATCTTTCGACAATGCGTGGTAAAGGTACAGGCCCAGAGACCGGAAGACCTAAGTAATATGCAGCTCGTATAGCGAAATCCGAAAAGAATTCAACATTTCGAACACTGTATGATCTCAACTGTAGATCACACACTGGAAGACCATATTCAGCCTTTCTACGAAGCGGCCGTAGATATACAGCTTGAACGCTTCGGGGCAGACGTGCCTTGCCACTTAAACCCTCAAGACGCTGCACCCTGTAGATATAGTTAGTCCGTTATTCGATCGACGATTTGCGTTCGAGTGAAAGTCCAACCAATCTTTGGCTTGCAGCTGAGGCGATGCAGATGGCTCTGCCGAGTGACCAGAACTAGACTGAAGTAAGCCAAAAAAGCTCGGAAGCGCGGGGAGTGAGTTATAGCCGCTGACATTCGTTCGTCCTTGACCAGACTGGAGGTGCGAGATACATCGGCGCTGGGTGGATTATTTCTTTCCAGCCCAGTCAAGGAGCTAGAGTGGCGAGTTAATACAAGAGGCTAATTTTGCTGGTGTCAATAAGTGCTGTTCTTTTGACAGTGTGGCATTGGAGAGTCACCTGTAGTCGCTGGCCTACCCGTGAGAGCAGCCGCGGAGAGAATGTTAGAGACATGAGTACAGCGGTAAACGGTGACACTGGTACATTAAAATCATAAGATGCTGCTGTTAAAAAGAGCGATGCATCGGTAATATGCTGGGTTTTCCAGGTCCGGTGCTTTCCCCAAAGGCGGTCGTACTTTAGCTGTCTCCCATTGGCTGTGGGTTGACCGCTTTCCATGAGCCGTCCCGGGTGTTGGCTGATGAATCAAGTACGGGACATGATGCACCCAAAGATGATCTTACTTGCGCGAGGTAGCCTTATTTCTGTGAATGCACTTCTACTCATTCGGGCTGCATCAACGCTACTAATCCAACTCCTGGTATTTGAACGCTTTCTGTTGCTCGAACCATGTGAGGAATTCCTCCCTGGCAACTCTGATGTGCCCGGCTTCTCTTTCAAGACGCAGCTGTTCATTGCTGATCACAACGAAACCTGCTCAAGTACTCGAATGAAGTAGCCAGGCCGAAAATCGCTCAGATGTCTCAGAGAGCATTCCGCCAAAGCAAGCCTAAGGCGCTCCGCCAGTCGGCTAGAAAATGTGCGCCATCTTTCGAGGCTGGGAGTTCATCGAAAACCGACAATGCTAGGAATCAGAGCATCGCGCAAGCGAACAATTCTCTGGAAGCGGCACCAAACAGCAAAAGGACGCGGGCGCATAAGCCCATGCAGCAGAAGAGACAAAGGCTTACCGCCCCAGAGCAGTTGACCTCAATTCAAAGTGCTGGGAAGGTTTGTGGTAGTTATGACGCCCGACAGGTTGGTATGGCATGTTCGAATGAGCGTCGCGCTCAGTCGTGCTCGGCCTTCTCTGATGCCAGTGCTGCTGTGGTCGGCAACGAAAAGAATGAAAGTCACCATCGCTCTTCCAGCATATCGTCCCTCGTGGCAGGTAGTTCAATTCCTCTGTCTCTGGCATCGGCTGCTCAAATCAAGTCTGAACGCGAAGCCTCAGTTCACTCGCTAAGCAGATCGCCAATCTCAAGTCATCTCTCACAAACTAGGGACAGACCTGAGAGAAATATGCCGACAGTTCCATATCAGCAACGAGTGAGGCCAACGCGAAGAAGGCTTGTTGATTCCTTAAGTGCGGCAGAGGAGTCAGTCCTGAATGAAGTATCCGCCTCCGACTCTGAAACCTGTGGCGCGAATACATCTTCCGTGCTAGGAATCCCCCAATCAGAGGCTGGAGCTTTGCAGCTGGACCAATTTCGGGATCAGCAAGGTCCCGTCAAGTCCTCAAGCAATGACAGGGAGGCAGGAACATTGGTTTCAAGCGCTCTTTTACGTTCCAGGATAACGTACGCTCGCCAACGCTCGTTCTTAGGAAGTACCTTGAACACTTCTGACTCTGAGTTACATGGCGCTTCCGCTTCAACTTTGGACGGTGTTGAAGCTAGTGGTTCATCTGCCTCACTCAAACATCGCAGTACACCTTTGTTGTCTGCCGATGGCGAGGAACACGGCAGGCCTGTCCGTAGCATCCATGAGCTGAGGCAGGCTGGGGACAATGCTCGCTTCCAAGAGTCGGTTGAAGCACTATTCGATGATTTTGAAGACCCGGGCAACACCGTTTCCGAGAGATGCAATGGGCTCATTCAGCTGTGTTCGAAGCTACTCAAACCCGACTTCATGCATCGATTCTTGGGATATGGCTTCGATGAACGACTAGTTAAAAGTACGGTGAGCGATTTAGACATTATCTCATCTTGTCTAGCACTCTGTGCCTATAGATTGGTCTGTCTCAAAGGGGTTTATTCGTACTCAAATTTGGGAACTTTTTGGACAACTCTTGTCGACAAATCTTCGTTATTTCTAGCAGTGAAAGACGATATAATGTCCTTGGCAGGCAATCCACGATTGCATGTGTCAAGAGCCGTGCAAGCGTCACTCAGGGATCTCATCCCACGATTGACAGCTTCGATGTTCTCAGAAAGCCCGACACTGAGACTTTCTCCACGGCTAGCCATTCTTTCCTGCATTAGCATGTGCTTGACAGCATTCCAAGACAAGCCTCAACCTATACAGTCGATGTCCCGGTCTTTGCTAGATAACCTTATTGGGCTCCTGCCTCCGAACAATGGTAAAGCCACAGCATACCCTCTGTCTTACGACGATTTTCAAACAAAGACAATAACTCTCCTTGTTCTGGAGAGTTACCTAATGCTTCCAGCGACATCAGGCTACGAGTACAATGGTCCTTTCCACAAATTTGTCCTGATGCATGATGACTTCATTCGTCCTGCCCAGGATGACCAAGGCCGACGAATCTTGACGTTATATTTGAGGGTCGTACTAAACCTCACCAACAATGATCCTCTGGCGTGCGAGCAATATGCCGCACCTGAAATAATCACCGGATTCGTTCGAATCATCACAACTGAGCTTTCAGATGAGTCTGCTATCGTCGGCTTCGGTGAGCACGAGTCATTCAACCTCGTCATCTTGGCTCTAGGTGTTCTTATAAACCTGGCAGAACAAAGTGAGAGTTGCAGAGCCTCCTTTCTTGTGCCAACACATGACTCGCATCCACCCCTTGGGACACTTGTACATCAGTTTTCTCTCAGCATCGACCTCATCAACCATGTAAGTGTTGAAAGTACGCTAGCCAGTAGAAATCACCGCTCATCTTATCACCAGGCAAATTCCCTTTCCGAGTCACATAATAATGTTGCTGTCGGGTACTTGTCAATACTCCTAGCTCTTCTCTGTCTACTTCAGGAAGCATACTCTCGAATTCAGGAATTGCTCATGGAATGTGGGAAGGAGATCGCCTCGGTCATTTCAACAGCGAAAGAATTCTTGCTATATCATCAGAAAGTCGAAAGAGACTCACGACTCGGCGAATTCCAAAATCGCGACAACACATCCACGGCACGTTTGACACATATCATAGAGCAGATAAGCCAACCGTAGAACAAACCCGTTACCATGGTGACATTACCTTCATCTACCATAGCTAGATGCGGTTTTAGCACCAGGGTCTCGAATGGTGTACGGGTTTCTTATGATAGAGTACTTGCTCGGTACCATAATCAACTCAGGCATAATAATCACTAGGCACGGAAAAATCTTCAAACATGGCATTATTTTCTGCAGCCAAAAAAACAAATCTGGTACTGTAACAGTTAAATCATAATCGATAAGCAATCATCGGCGATAAGTTTAACCCAATGCGCTAAATGCCCTTCCCGTCCTGACATAATAGGTATGTGCAGCCGTTTGATTTGTTTGCCACTCTCGGCTGGAGTTCTAATGTCCCGAATTCCATCTTTATGATGAGGGCTGCTGCGACTACAGGGACTTATAGTTTCTTTCCTCATACTAATCCGTTTTGACTATTGCGGGGAATCTGCCACAGCGCTACGCTCCAGAAAGAATTCTGTACCGCCCAAAGGTCTTTCTGCGTCAGTATACATCTTGCCTATAAGCGTTAATCTGTACTGCTATTTAAGAGGAAGATGCCCAGTGCTCCGAAGCAGCGGAAGATAGCTATTGTTGGCAGTCGGTCTGTGGGTAAGCATCTGCTATTATTTTTTAATTTCTACTATAATCGCCCCCCAAACTGACCTATGGTGAACTTGTGACTATTTAGGTAAATCTTCTCTTACAGTTCGGTTCGTTGAACATCATTTCGTAGAAAGCTACTATCCGACGATTGAAAACACGTTCAGCCGCATTATCAAATATAACGGTCAGGACTACGCAACTGAAATTGTTGACACAGCTGGTCAAGTAAGAAAGACCCATGTAATCTTACTCAATGGCGTGGCTAATCCTGCGATAGGATGAATATAGCATACTGAATTCAAAGCACTTCATTGGCATCCATGGATACATAATTGTCTACTCGGTGTCATCCCATCAATCATTCGATATGGTCAGAGTCATTCGAGATAAGATACTAAATCATTTGGTACTACCCTAGAACCTATTCACTGCAGCTCCATTATACTGATGCAATAACACAGGGTGCTGACCACGTGCCCCTTGTTATTGTTGGAAATAAGAGTGACCTCAAGTCAGAACAGCGTCAGGTGTCCTTGGATGAAGGGCGGCAACTGGGCGAAGAATTTAACTGTGCATTCACCGAGGCCAGTGCTCGACTCGATTACAATGTTGCAAAAGCCTTTGACTTGATGATCGGCGAGATTGAAAGGTCCCAGAACCCATCTCAACCTGCAGGAGGGAACAAATGTTCCGTAATGTGATCCTTGTAAAATCACTAGGTATCACTCGGTGGGTAATGTGTCTGGGTTGGGTGGGAAGATCTGTTCAAATATGCCTAGTCACCTACAAAGCCTCCCTTTGTTCTATGTATGGCGTGTTCTTGGTTTCTTTTTACTATCTTACATGTTAATCATCTTAAATGAATCTGACAATATTTCAGCATAATACAACAACTCTGCTATACTGACTAAACTTCAAAAAAGTATATGTGAATACTGCATTCCATCTAAATAAGCCAAGTATAATCAGCTCGAACATCTGCTCTGCAGTAGAAGCTGGGAGCAGGTGGCACTCGGGGAGGGAATGGTGAACGAACTCGGCCTGAAATCAATTTGATGCTATACCCGAATAGTCAGGCCACCTAGAATTTTGCCCCTCATCCTACACGGCAAGAAAGTTCAGCCTTTTTCAAATACCCCTCTTTGTCAGTGTTCGACCACTTTACCATTCACAGATCAGATATACGTTCTCACAATCGAGTCTGTAAATTTTTACGTATATTTGAGCATACTGGACCATTTTCAACACACCGCTTAAAAATGCTTGACCTTGCTGATTTTATCACCGAACGCGGTGGTAACCCGAACAGAATAAAGGACAGCCAGCGCAAAAGATATGCACCCGAACATGTTGTCGATGAAGTCCTCGACCTATATGAAGAGGCAAGAAGGGGTATATTGACACATATTATCATTTCACCGTGCAATTGGAACTTCTAACTAAGATTACCCCCGCCTACAGCACGCTATGAAGTCATGCAGATCAATTCCCAGCTCAACGCGCTCCAGAAAGAGATCGGAAAGATGAAGAAGGTCGGACTTATCAGTCATTCCATCATTATCTCCAAATGAAATATCTATATCTAATCAGTGCGAATCATCAAACAGAACAAGGAAGATGCAGGCTCCTTGATGGAACAAAAGGCTGGCCTTGAGCAGCGTAAAAAAGATGCCGAGGAACTTGCCGTCCAGAAAGAATCGCAGAGGGACAAGAAAATCCGAACAATTGGCAACATCGTGCATGATTCAGTTCCCGTTAGCAACAACGAGGTTTGTGTTATCTGTATATCGATGTATCGATATAATTGAGATTGACTCGCCTACTAGGATGACAACGTTGTGGTCAAATCTTGGGTGCCAGAAGACGTGAAGGTAGAGAAGCGCGATTGTCTGTCTCATCACGAGGTGCTTACACGTCTTGACGGTTTCGACCCGGAGCGTGGTGTCAAGGTCGTAGGCCACCGTGGGTACTGCTTGACGGGATATGGTCTCTTCTTAAACCTTGCGCTCATCAACTACGGACTTGAGTTTCTCTGGGGAAAAGGCTATAAACCAAACCAGCCTCCCCAATTCATGCTCAAGGATATGATGGCGAAGACAGCGCAGCTCGAGCAATTTGATGAGGAGCTTTACAAAGTCACAGAAAGTGAAGACAAGTCCACTGATAAATATCTAATTGCCACTTCGGAGCAGCCTTTGTCAGCATTGCATGATGGGGAGTGGCTTCAGGACAAAGACCTTCCGATCAAGTAAGTACTATGCCAACATGTCCGCATATTATACTAATGGTTCTCAGGTATGCCGGGTATAGCACATGTTACCGCAAGGAGGCAGGCGCGCATGGGAAAGATGCGTGGGGTATTTTCCGAGTTCATCAATTCGAGAAGGTGAGAAATCTGTGATAAGCAACATTGATTGACCAGCACTAATTTTAGCATAGATCGAACAATTCGTTCTCACAAAACCGGAAGACTCTTGGCAGGCTTTTGAAGAGATGATGGCTACATCGGAGGAGTTCTATCAGTCCCTTGGGCTGCCATATCAGGTGGTAGCAATTGTCTCTGGGGCATTGAACAACGCTGCTGCAAAGAAGTACGACTTAGAAGCCTGGTTTCCTTTCCAAGGGGAGTATAAAGAATTGGTTTCCTGCTCCAACTGCACTGATTACCAATCGAGGGCGCTCGAGATTCGTTATGGCATTAAGAAAGCCACCGACGTTAAGAAGTCCTATGTTCATGCTTTGAATGCTACTCTCTGTGCCACTGAACGAACACTTTGCTGTGTCCTCGAGAACTACCAGACCGAAGATGTACGTTGTGACCTGCTCTACACCGTGATCTTCTAGCTAACTATACATAGGGTATCGTTGTCCCGGAACCTCTTAGGAAATATATCCCAGGAATGCCCGATTTTCTCCCATTTACAAAGGAACTTCCTAAGGACAGTACCTCTCAGAAGTCCAAGGCCAAGCAGGCTTCGAAGAGCGCGACTAAAGCGGAAGATGCTTCCGAGAAGTTGCAAAACCTCCAGCTCTGAGTGCTTTCGTCCGGAAAATCTCACTACCTATTCAGATCAAGAAATGATCTTCCTGCCGCCCGAATGCACTTGATCGTGGCTAATCCTCAACTTTCAATGTCATAGATATGGAGCTTGAGATGGGTTGGTCTTACACTGGCGGTAGAGCTTACCTCTAGAATTCGTCTTGCTTTCATTGATTATTTGTGCAATGCTTGACTCCACTTATACATAAGTATACCTCGTAATAGCTTGGCTTGTCTCTGCACAAGCTCTATGCTCCGGTCATACAGGGCTATATTCTGGGTTCTCTATAGAGCTGCAAGTGTTCAGCCTCTGTAGGCAGCAAAGCAGTAGTACTATGCAATATAATGAGTAGTAGTTTGGTGTACTTCACGGGGTACTGGAGAAGGAATGGGCCGGCCCCGCTCTTACCCCTCCAATACGTACTTCTTGTTTGGAGCGATGACTCAAACATTCAATTGCAGATGTGGAACATTGCTAACAGTCCGGTTCCGGAGAACTTAAAAAAGTCGGCTACTTTCCCTTCCCTTTTCTATACCATTAATTGATAGATTTTTTTTCTCGCCTATATTCTTGCTCGGTACCTTCCATTGACGGATAAATCCAGAAGCAACAATGGCAGCATCAGCAAGGGACATTAACCTCTCCACGTCTCCTACGGCCTCGTTCCAATCTGCACCGTCGAGCCATGGAGGATCAGCTCTGGGAAGCCGCACCATCCCACTTGCTAATGCGAAACACCTGAAGCCATTCGCCACTGAGGATATCAAAGTACTGCTCCTGGAGAATGTCAATCAGACGGGCAGGGATATTCTCACAAAACAGGGCTACCAGGTTGAATTCCTCAAATCATCGCTCCCAGAGGATCAGCTTATCGAGAAAATCCGGTCGGTTTTCCACGGTATACCTGTGCCATCTTGTGAGATTTATAGCTGACCTAATGATAAAATCCGAAGTGATGTACATGTTATTGGTATCAGGTCCAAGACGAAACTCAGCGCTCGTGTCTTGAAGGAAGCCCGGAACCTTATTGTTATTGGCTGTTTCTGCATTGGGACCAACCAGGTTGACCTTCAGTATGCAGCTGAGCATGGCATTGCTGTCTTCAATTCCCCTTTCAGCAACTCCAGAAGTGTTGCTGAGTTGGTGATCGCCGAGATCATTGTTCTTGCCCGTCAACTTGGCGATCGGTCAAATGAAATGCACAATGGTACCTGGAACAAAGTGAGCAACAAATGCTGGGAAATTCGTGGGAAAACACTCGGTATGCTCTCTCGCCCGAGATAGTAGAAGCTGGCTGACTCAACTTAGGAATCATCGGTTATGGTCACATCGGCGCTCAGCTTTCAGTTCTAGCCGAGGCCATGGGAATGTCGGTCATATTCTATGATGTAGTGAACTTGATGGCACTCGGCACAGCGCGGCAAGTGCCTACCCTTGAAGGACTCCTTGCACAAGCCGACTTTGTTACCTGTCATGTCCCCGAGCTTCCGGAAACCAAGAACATGATCGGGCACCAGCAGTTTGAACAAATGAAGACGGGCAGCTATCTCATAAATGCTAGCCGCGGGAGTGTCGTTGATATTCCAGCACTTATCCATTCCATGCGATCTGGTAAGATTGCAGGAGCCGCGCTTGATGTCTATCCTAATGAGCCGGCTGGCAATGGTGACTATTTCAATAACGACCTCAATACATGGGGAGCAGACCTTCGTAGTCTCAAAAACCTGATCTTGACCCCGCATATTGGAGGCAGCACTGAAGAAGCACAGCGTGCAATCGGTGTTGAAGTTGCGGAGGCATTGGTGAGGTATGTCAATGAAGGTACAACGCTCGGCGCCGTCAACCTCCCAGAAGTCGCCCTTCGATCATTGACCATGGACGAATCAAATCATGCTCGGGTAAGGCACTTCGTGACCTATGAGTTTATACCCACAATTAAGTATATGTCTAACTTATGGCATACAGGTCATTTTCATTCACCAGAATGTTCCTGGTGTGCTGCGGAAAGGTACTAGATATGCGACCCGTGGTTTCCTGAATGTCTAGGTTGCTGACGCTCAACAGTCAACGAAATTCTTGGGGATCACAACGTTGATAAACAAATGACCGACAGCAGAGGTGATGTATGTTCACCTCGATCAGTTTGTTTCCAGATTCCTCGACTGACTGAGTGCAGGTGGCCTACTTGATGGCTGATATTAGCGACGTCGACAACTCTACAATCAAAGACTTGTATGAGAGACTTGAGAGCCTTGGATGTACGTACCATTTTGCTCCATGATGTGTTTCCCTCTTCCTCTCAACCTTGTAACCGTCATCGCTAACCATGGCCTTCATTGATCGCTCTTCTGTTTCTTTAGCCCGAATTATGACTCGCATCTTGTATTAAGAAAGCCAGGGTTAAACAGCACGAGGCTGCTTGTTGCGCCGAACTTGTCGACGCGATCTATCAAGACTGATTTTGCGTCAGTGCTCTTTCAACAGCAGTATCATTACAGAGTGGGGACGAAAAAGCCATGTAAATCACTTCCCACAGTCAATTAGCATGCGTTCATTTGGAGCCTATGCCTCAATGGACTTTCATAGGGGGTCATTTACTAGGCTTCATTCTGAAGCTCGCGCAGCTACTCTGCAACTATTGGCAAAATGTTCAACACCGCCTCACAATTTGATGTATCAACCAGAAATTCCAGTGAGCTTATATACGTTAGCTTCAGTATATAATGCTTTATTTAAGCTCATACTTCATAAGCCGGAAAGCTTTGGGGGTGGATATGCTTTCTATGTTACTTTCAAGTTGGTGGATACACAAACTCATATTTATCGAGACCGGATCATCTGCGATATAAAGCTCTATCCGTGTCACGGGCACCATCTCTCGCAAAGGGACTCCGGCTCCTTCTTCTGGATAGACTCTCACGTGATTGATCATGCCTATCAGTACTAAGGTTGATGTTGTTATCCCTTTCACGAGAGTAATCAACTGCATTTGTGTTAACATGAGCATGGACGTGTGAATCCACATAGATTTCGGGTCGCCCACCTGCACGGTTATAATCTCTTTCACGTCCAATTCTGCCCATGTTACCAGAGTGCCATTGATGTGCCGATGCAGGAGGTTTTGGGGGTAAGCCACCTCTACGCCAAGGACCTGAATGTGACTCCTCATCCAGCCTAGCTTGCGATGTGTGCGATTCGGCGAGTCGATTGTCGGAAGAACGAGCCTGAGAATGTCCATGGCCCGCACTGGGATGCGGCCTGCTCGAACGGACGGCACTAGGGAGACGGCTACTCTTATTCTCGGCAACAGGCGGTCTGATACCAGATGCAGTAGTCCAGCTTCCATTTGTGGCCATTGCTATGGAACCTCCAGTGGGTGCAGGGGGCATAACGGCTCTGTTGCTCCGAAATCTTCTTCTGTCAAGTTCGTGAGAATCTTCGAACGATGGCAGCTCACCGGGACGTGCAGGTAGTGGTGGATCAGCAAAATAGGGATGATTTAATGCATCAATGGCATTGATTCTCTTTTTCCAATCAAGCCTCAGAAGCTCCCTCAATAAGGAGACCGCATTGGAGCTTTGACTATGTGGATGTTAGAACCTTGTGGTTGATAGTTCATGTTGAAAGGAAAGGAAACACCCATACTCTCTGAAAACCTCAGACAACCTCCCGGGTCTGTTTCCAAAGCTCTTTACACCATCACATCCAGGAAGCAAAGACCATCCTGGCATTGTCTCTTCGGTAGGTGAGCCGACTAAATTGAAGATAAGGTGAGCTTGGTTGAGATCACTGTTGCCAGCGAGAATCGGTTTCCCTTTGAACATTTCGCCGAAGACACAACTGGCCGTTGTCAGAAAGGTGTTTGACTCATCACGGCAAGTAGAGCGTGCTCTCACCCGACACCCCACATATCAATTGCTGTAGTGTAACGCCGAAGTTGAAGAAGAAGCTCCGGAGGGCGGTACCAGCGAGTCACAACAAGAGTGGTGTAATCTCTTTTTGCTTCTCCGCCACCTTTCCCGGGTTGAGGAGGAGGTTCCTCATATGGGCGAGCCAGACCAAAATCAGCAATTTGAAGAACACCCTTATTGCTGATGAGTAAATTGGCCGCTATGTTACTATTAGCCACCCACGTCAATTCCTGTTCGAACATGGCGAATCTAACCTTTCATGTCGCGGTGCAAGATAGAGTTCTGGAGCAGGTTAGAATCATGACTTTGACCACTGGATAAGTCGATTGTACCGCGTGCAGATATTTAAGCCCTTCCAGAAGTTGTAACATATAGCACTTGATCTGGGCTTCAGTAAAACGGACACTCGGATTCTCTAGCAGCCCTGAGAGATCGTGTTCCATGTATGGGGTGACCATATACATGCTTGGCTTCTTTCGGCCTTCCCCTGGAGGATAATCAGTGCGAGCGTATTTTCTATTAATTGCTTTGGCCTACCTTTGCTGCGTTCCACGGCCATCTCTCTGAGGTGTAAGATATTAGTGTGAGACAACATTTTGAGGAGCTTGATCTCACGGAGAGCGGTTATGGGGAACTTTGAAAGGGTAAGTGAGCTTGATCATATCGCCTAAGACAGTCATTCCTTACCCCATCTCTCTCATTGTGCATAAGGATCTTCTTTAGCGCGACAATGGTATTATCTCTCTTCGACCTGGCTTTGTATACCTCCCTGTCCGGGTCTCAATATGCGACACGAATAAAACAGGCTGCTACCGGTACATACCCGAAGGTACCTTCACCTAATTTGCCCAAGAACTCAAAGTCCCGTATATTGGTACATCCACGAAACCTGGGACTCCCATTCCCCTGTCTCTCAAGAGAGGTTGCAACCATTCTCGAGAACAGCTATCCTGATCGACAGCAAGAGAACGGGCCCTAAAATGCGATAAGCCCAGTGCTTGTCTCTTCCTTGGAAACATTCGAAGGTTTGAGTCGACAGATGAAATTTCATGTATGTGACATGCAAAAGTAAGGGCCTTATAACACTTTGATAGTGGCGATGTGTATGGTATCGGAGCACGGTATCGGACTTTTAAGCCGGGTAAATTAGAAGAAGCACTCTAATGGAAACTGGACGGTATGAAGGACTTGACGTCAACATGACAAGTTACGCATAAATTTGACTGCCAGAGATGTAAATACCGAGCATTGCGAAGGATCAATAAGTGCTTATCCTTAATATTGCAGGCCTGACCCTCGGCGGAGTGCCTGGCGCCCGCAAACATTTCAAAGTGTCCTGAGTCACATGACACATATGCGTTCCCGTGACGTCCGAAGTGCAGACATCATAGGCATCTTCGGAAGACACTCTCTATCTATCGTGCACTTTCCGGCATAAACTGGGGAGATTGTCCATCACGCTTAACTCCGAATCAACCAGAAAGTATCCTGTCGTGGAACCCCATAAATTTCACTCAACAAGCTAACGTACGCAATATAGACATGGCGTCAAGTCATCCTATCCATGTTCATCCCGCACGACCTCTGTATCGCTTTACGGCTACGGCGTTGGGAGCTAGCATGTGGTTTTTCGTAAGTGAATTCATGATTCTCATCGTCCTTAGAAAGTCGCTAATAATATTCTCCATCATTATAGTTAATGTACAGAGCCAAGAAAGATGGACCCGCCCTTTTAGGCTGGAAGCACCCTTGGGATCATTGAGGGCGCAATGGGCTACTGTATCAACCACTTTGCTGAGAGACAAATACAAATATGAGCCGAACGGACATTTATTGAGATGTATATTCGAAGAAATAACTGGACCAGCCAAGCGGACTTGTGGCCTCGCAATGTCTCAACTCTGGAATCGAGACAAGTTACAGGCTTATTGGAAGCTGCAATAGCTCTTTCTCTTTCTATTCATCAACTTGGACCATTGCCCAGAGAAAGCGATCTAATTTCGCATTTCCTCGAGTAGCATCTTGTATCGACGGCGTTTCTTCGACTGACCTGGTCGTAGTTTTTGACGTAAATTCCCCACCTTGCGAGCAAGGTTGGGAAAGATTCTTCTTTCTGCCGTCCAAGCAATTAGGAAGCTTCCGCTAACAACTGCGAGCAACTGCCAAGCAAAGTAGTCTGGGAGAGACGTCAATTGCATGACACGTCTGAGCCACTGAGTCGGTCTGAAAAGCATGTAGCATGAAAAGAGTAGAGTCATTAGGACCATGATCAGGTATGGTTCTAAGGATAATCAGCTTCTATCTCCTAAAGTGTTGACAGTCTTTGAATGAGACTAACTGTTTGAAATCATCGGCTTGCGAAATGGCGGTCCGGCGCTGAGCACGACGCTCGACAATATGTATTGGAAGCTAGAGACCAGGAAAAGTACAGTATTTGCAGAATTCTCGATGTTGTCCTCTAAGCCCGCGCGGGGAGGGTTGAACCTGGGAAGTGGATCAGCAAATCTTCGGTACATGCATTACTTCGAGAAAAGCATGAACTTCGACGCGTACCAGGGTTGCAGCTGGACATATTTGTATGCCACAAGCTGCGTAGCTACACAAAGGGTAATCTGACCGAGCAATGGAATCAGAACTTTGCGTGAGACGAGGTCGGCGGTAGGCCGCTTGCGAGAAAGTATAGGATGGGGGTCAGTCCATCCCACTTGAATTTCATCAGTATTTGCTTTGATATTGTAGGCGAAATGCAACTCACTAAAGATCGCAATCGGTAGGATCAGAAACAGATCAATGAAGAGGAACTTATGCTAGTCAGTGACGATACTCGCATGGTCGTTATGGTGTGAAGCATGTACCTGGAAATCACCAAGATTTGACGCTGACGCATACAACAGGCTCACAGTCGCAAACTGTATGGCCGAGTAAAGACTCATGTACTTGAAGCAACAGAAGCTGGTAACCAAGGCACTTCTTCCTTCCCTAGAAATAGATTTAGCAGCGAGCTCCCTCGACACTAGGCAACATGTTCTGTACCTAATAAGCGTGGGTACACATGAGATATCGAATTGGCGACTGGTGAACGGGGCAGCAACCGAGGCTTCAGCATCAGATAATGATATACCAACGTCAGCAGCTTTCAACGCGCCGCAATCGTTCGCGCCGTCGCCACAGAATCCACAACAGTAGTCGAGGGACTGCAGCTTTTCAACAAGTTCATGCTTCTCATCTGGCGACATTCTCGCGAATACGCTGCCACGCACGAGCATCTATAAGTATGTTTGTTAGACCCGAATTATAGCAGATGCCACTGCCGGCGCTAGTCGTCGCTTTATTTACACATACTCTGTTCAGAATTGTTTCGCTGCCGAAGTCAATTGCCCATCGGAAAACTTCGCCACTGACAGCAAGAGAGTAATTATTTAGGTTGGAAACATTGCCAGGCACCGAAAGGTCAATGCTTGCTGCGTTTACATGGGGCTTTCTAAATCAGCGAGAGCCACCAAACAAGACACTTGAGTCATACCATAAGTGTAGTCGAGTCGAGCCTGATTGCTGGGTCATCGACGCTTTCCCAACAAAGCGAAGCACCCGTATCATGTCCATGCCCTATGAGTAGAGTTAGTAGAAATGTACTTAGACAGAGCAATCGCAGCAGGAAGAGCTAACCTTGCGAAAAATGAGGAACAAAACAATGTTCATTGCTACTGACCAACCCGCACTCACGAGCTACACTAACTGCCGTGAGTATGTTATCACCTGTACACATGACGTTGCGTATGCCTGCTTGATTAAGTTCAGTGATAGTCCCCGTAGTCTTCGGCTTAAGCTTATTCTCAAATATAATGAACCCGAGAAATTCAAGATCACACTCAGCATCATGACGAGTCATTTTCTGAATCTTCATCCAGCTTAGCTTTGGCGCATGCTTGGCAGCGCAGGCAATAACGCGATAGCCTTTGTGTGTATAGTAGCTCAAAAGCTCGTCATAATCACGGGGCACTGGGGAGTTACTTTTAGTAGTGTTTACAATGGAGTGGATTGGGACACTGACAGCTTCCTGGGCGACATATAGCCTTAACACTTTCTGGAGCACCTTTTACGAAAGTGCTTGCTCCAGAATCACCAAATCGGCGTACAATAACACTTGCACGACGTAGCTCTGAGACAAATTCAAAGTTGCGCAATATGCCCAGCTCTACATGTGCCTGTTGAGTATCAGCATCCTGCTTTAGTGAGTCGGAATATTATATGAGATGTTGCCATACATGTGGGCCCTGCTCCTGGTGGGAACCAGCAAGGGTGTCAGTGGGCTCTGGAGGTTTTGCGATAGATGGCATGATTCTCTCAGAGTCTGACGGCTCAACATGACTTCCTCCCTCTATAAAAGACCATCCAGTGAACTGAAACATTTTGACATCGAGAGGATCACCTAATAATTCACCATCAACCACTCTCAGAGAGTGGCATGTTGCCATGGTGTAGAGGATATTATCGTGACGAGTGTCCCTCTGTATAGTAGTTCTGTCCGCCAGGGGTGCGGTGTCGAAATAAATGGTAGAAATCAATCCGGAGAAGCTACAGCATAGTCAATAGACGCACAAAGGACAAGTTAATATGTATTTCCCAAACCTCTCATTTTTGTCGGCGACCCGAATCCCGAGTACGTCTAGTCCGTCCTCAGTGAGGGTCCCAGTTTTATCAAAACAGATTATATCTAGCTTTCCGCCCACATTGACCCTAAACCATATTAAACCAAGTCCTCAAGACTAGAATCTCGGACTTCTCACCTTTGTGGACTGATGCAGAATATTTTATGATTCTTCAGTCTTGAAAGAGCAAAATTCGTTCCTATACTCAATGTAGCAGGTAGCGCCGGAGGCACGACGATTGTGATCAGATCCAGTGCTCGGACAATAATGAATTGCCAAGGAAGCTTGTCTGTGTTAGCAACGATAAGTTCGGTAGTAAAGTTGGATTCCCTTACTCCTAAGCGGATGAAGTTCACAAAAGAAGCAATGAACCCTAGAATAGCGATGATACCCATAACTGAGATATACCGGAATGAATCCCGATAAAACTTGAAGCCCGAGGGCTTAGGAAAGAGCATTGACCGGATAAGGGCGCCTTTAGTTGTGAGAAACCCAGTCCTCACAACAACTGCTAATGCTATAGCTTCATCATCATCAACATTCTGTGGGCGCCGTGCCCTTATTACCTTCGTACCACTAAAAAGAAAGTGCTTTGCAAGGTTGGGATTGATAGAAGGACCAGTTAGGTCTAGATACTTCAGTGCATCATCCGTAAGAGGAAGTTTGGTGACTGGGACAGATTCACCTGTTAATCATTAGTCCATCTTCTCAAGAAGGCAGACATGTCTTTCAGACCTGTCAGCATGCTTTCGTTGACTATGCAGTCACCAGACAACAGTATACAGTCACAAGGAACTTGCGTGAGGGACGGATCCGAGAATTCGTACACATCGCCGGGGACAAGCTCTCGGGATGGAATAGATCTCCCTGTAAGTTAAGACATGAGCATATTTCTGGCACGTGGAAGATGAGCCACACATGGCTCCACCTACAGAATCCATTGCGAAGAACACGGGTGTCGCATTCAAATAGTGATAGCTCTCTTAAACGATTCATTGTCTGAAGGAAAATAAGCACCCTTGAAGATTGCGACACGCCCACGGAAACGCACCGCTTTTGTTTCAATGACAGTAGCACCAATGCTGATGAGTGAAATGAGAAATATGCATACAGCATAATAGTAATATTCATCGAGCGACCAAAGTACAAGGCTTGCCAGCTGGAAAATATAGAATGGGTGAAAAGCCTACAAAGTCAGGTATCGAAGTGGAAAAGCTCAGGGGTTTCACACTTACCTCATCCATAAGCAGTTGCAACGCAGGCTTCTGCTGAATGTCAATGAGATTTTTCCCGAATATTTGTTCGCGATCGTCACGATCATCGGCATCCAGCCCGAGTCTCATTCCTTTCACATTTGTCCATAGGGGATCTTTCCACCCATTCACCAGGCAGAATTTATCCTCGAGCGGATTATAAAAAAAGCGAAGATATCTGTAATCGATGCGTCTCAATTGGGCAATGGTGGGGTCATTATCTTCGTCGTATGAATGGCAGTCAGGATCGGCGAAAATCGTAGACAAGGGGCGCCCGTAATCTTGACTGTCGACTTGTTGTACTTGAAATCGATTCCATTGATCCTGACGCTAGATCAGCAACAGATAGATAGATCTCGGAGGTAAAGCTGCCTACCTCAATCGCAACCCATTTAGAAGCACAAAGAGGGGCTGGTTTACCTAACAGGCGAACGCGCCATTTGGGAAACCATCGAAAGAGCAGGTAAGCGAACCCGAACGACAATGCACACAATATGTAATAGAGTACAAGACCAGTGATGCTTGTCGAAAAGCCCGCAATCACAATGGTAAGATCTTCTGAGATGATGTGGACTTTCTGGCTTGTTATACTTTCGCCTGTCCAGTTTTGTGCGTACGAGGCAACAGATAATGACCGCCGTAGCAGGGGGTCTTCAACTGAGCCTCTTGAATAAGATTGGCGCTTAAAGGACCGTATCGATTCATTTGTGTCATTTAAGCCAGTCACGGACACATCGTCCATGTCGCTCTCGACGTCCAATGCATCCTCGGGTGGCCACAATGTGTGATCCTCATCGTCGTGAAAATATGTAAAGCTAGTGGTAGAGTCTTTCCGATCTCGACGGTGAGAGAATGAGACA